GTAGACGGCGTCGTCGGGCTAAACTATGGGCTGCTCACCCGCTGGCCGCAGGCCGAGGGGGGGCGCCTGAACCCGCTCGAGAAGGACGTCATCACGCCGCTCTGCAAGCGGCGCGGCGAGCCGTCGCGCAACTTGATCGTCTCGCTGGTGCACCCCTCCCAGGCGACGGTCCAGCCTGCGTGCACATCCTCGGCGCAGTTTTCGGTCCGAGGCGGATCGCTCGACCTCGCGCTCCAGCAGCGCTCGTCGGACGTGATTCTCGGGCTGCCGCACGACGCGTACGTCTGGTCGGTGATCCTCCACCTCGTGGCCCGGGAGGTGCGCCGCCGCACTGACGGCGAGGTGGCGCTGAGCGCTGGTCGTCTCAGCATTCACCTCCCCGCTGGCAGCGCACATGCGTACGCTGTGAATGAGGATGCCCTGCGAGAGCTGTCTCGCCGTGCGCCGAAGGGCGGTGTTGCCCCACGGGTGCTTCTGCGTCGGGACGCACCCGGCCTCTTCGAACTTGCAGCGCTGGACGATTCGCCAGCGATGCTTAGAGTGGAGGGCTACGATGATTCGTGCTGCCACCCGCGAATTGTGGTCGCGCAGGCGAATGGATGAGGTGTAGGTTTCAGGTTGGTCGTACGTACTTTTAGCTACGGGAGAGTTGGTCTATTAAAGGGTGTGGATGCTGGGTTCAACAAAATCGGAGGACGCGACCCACTTCGCCACAGACGGTCCCGCGCCTCGCCGCTAAGACGGGTACACGACCGCGGCTTGTGTGCGTGTACCCGTCTTTGTCCGGAGTGAAAAGTCCAACGCGCTCGTCGGTGACGGCTTCCTCCAACCTGCGCCGCGCTCGGCGAACCTCGACAGCGCTTTCGGTGGCATGCAGCTCTTTGCGACAGAAGCCTGGAGAGCAGCTCCTCTGCTGCTCACACACTCTGCACAGCTGACACAGCCTACTGTGCGGCTGTCACAGCTGTGACAGCGATGGGCTCGCCCTCACTGGCCCTCAGTCACTTGTGCTGCGGCTTGTGTGAGCGACACTGCTCGGCGACTGCCGGCACACTGTGAGACCATGGGTGAGAGGTCAAACCACGCTACCAGCGCTTGGTCACATCGGCCCCGAGGTCAGATCCATCTACTCTGTTGATGACAAGACTTGTCTACCGGCTGGAGCCGAGCAGGAGGGCTTGGCGCACAACCCCTGTTCAACTCACCCTCCACACCCCCCGTATGTGTGTCTCATATGGCTACGCGGCGTACAGCATCGCCCCGCTCCCCGGCGTCGGTCGCGCTCGCGGGGTCGGACCTCGGTCCCCCTCCATGAGGCGCTTTCACCCCCCGCCAGCGGGGGACTATACGTGCGAGACACGATGGAACATCATGTGGCTGAAGAGTACTCTCTTCCGGAGTCCGGTGAGCGGTGTGGTCTGTGGTCTGACGTCCGTGGACCGGTGCACTGTCTGGTGGCGCCTCCACCCGGAAAGACAAGCGCGCCCCAGATCCCGTCTAGCATTGCGTGTCGCGCTCGC